AAAGGGCAATTGATTTTACTGATTTGGTTTCAGGCCAAAACAAAAGCATGACATTAAAAGAATAAAGAGCATTAGATTTTTGTTTTCATTACCAACAAGATGTGTTCATTAAAGAAAATGAAGACAAGAGGGGGGAAAACTAAAACAACAAAACTGTCTCTCATGTGTGAACATTTGGATGCATCTCTTCCATCTTTTTAATACATAGTTGTTTGATTTAAATCTTATGTGCTGCAGAAAAATTTATGAATTGTCATCCATGTGAATCTATATAAAGCAAACATCCTTGTAACCACTGCTCAAGCCAGCTATAGAAAAATATAAAGGATGTAGCTGCCTCATGTTCCTCTTCCTAATGGGAGCCATTAAATCTGTAGGCATCCCCAAATATTGTCTTTTAACATTACCTAAAAGGACATATACAGTATGTTTATGTTTATGGTTTCTTTTGTTCACTGATAGACTTCATTCGGGTTGTGTATAATTGTGTTTTGTTCATTTTGATAGATCTCTGCTTTTTCTTTGTGTGAAATTTACACAGTTATGTTACAACTTTGATTTGATAAGTGTTTGCTATTATGAAGGATCCTAAAATAAACATTCTTAGAGGGGTCCCCAGCATCCATGTGTATGCAATTCTGCCAGATACATACCTAAGAGTAGGATTCTCTAGATGAAGGCAGACTCTAAGTGGGGTAACAATTCATATGCGAGCATCAGATGAGAGTTTCCATGGCTCCACATCTTTAATACATATTCTATGATGTTTTCTTGTTTTTCTTTTATCATTTCATTTTATGTTTTTCATAATGATAAGTACACTCTTTCATACAAGTCCCCTATTTCACCCATCCCCCCACCTACCTCCCCTCTGGTAATCATCAATTTGTACTTTATTAGTTGAAAGCCTGTTTCTTAATTTGTCTCTATCTCTATTTTTCCTTTGCTTATTTGTTTTGTTTATTAAATTCCACCTATTGTGAGATCATATGGTATTTGTCTTTCTCTGACTGACTTATTTTGCTTAGCTTAATACACTCCAGTTCCATCCACGTCATTGCAAATGGCAATATTTCATTCTTTTTGATGGCTGAGTAATATCCCATTGTATATTTATACCACATCTTCTTTATCCATTCATCAGTCAATGGACATTTAGGCTCTTTCCATAACTCAGCTATTGTAAATAATACTGCAAAAATATAGGGGTGCATGTGCCCCTTTAAATCAGTATTTTTGTATCTTTTGGATAAATACCTAGTAGTGCAATTGTTGGGTCGTAGGGTAGTCCTATTTTCTTTAAAGCTTTATTGTGTTGCATTTCATATTCAGGTTTACAAACTACCTGGGTTTTTCTTTTTTATAAATAGTGTGAAGTATGGGTTGATTTTTTAAAACACATTCACTTCTGATTAAATTAGCACAATATAAAAAAACTTATCTTTTCTACATTATTCTGCAATCTTTACATATTCAAGTGAGTCCATGAGCTGGGTATGTGTTGGGCTATTATGTGTCACTGGTCTCTTTATTGTTGAATTCTTTCCTCTTGTCTGAATTCTCAGTTTACAATGTGTCATGATGCCCAATAAAGTAGGTGCTCCCACTTCACTTCTCTTCAGCAGTGGTTTGGCTATTGCTGGCTGTCTTCATTTCCACAACAGTTTTAGAATCAGCTTGCTAAGTTTCACACACACTCATGCACACACAGATGGGATTTATTATATTTTATTGAATTTGTGGTTCATACTGAGGAAAACTGATATCTTTTCAATATTGAGTTTTAATCCATGAACATGTCATCGCAATCATTTACTTTTTTCTCTAAAACTTCCCTCGAATTATGTTATAGGTTAGTGGGTAGACTTCCTGCCGGTTTTTTTTTTTATTAGATTTCTCTTAAGTATTTGATATATTTGATCCTATTTACATAGTGTTTTAATGTTAACTTATGTTTGCTTCTTTTATATGGAAATAAATTGATTTTTCTTATTGATTATGCAATCAGGACATATGTTGAATTAATTTATTAACTCTAATAATTTCAATGTAGATTCTGGAATATTTCTGTATCTACATTTATATAATTTGCCAATAATTAGTTTAATATCTATCTTTCCAATTCTTTTTTTTTTTTTTTTAAAGATTTTTATTTATTTATTTGACAGAGAGAGAGATAGCGAGAGGAGCAACACAAGCAGGGGGAGTGGGAGAGGGAGAAGCAAGCTTCCTGCCGAGCAAGGAGCCCGATGTGGGACTCGATCCCAGGACCCTGGGATCATGACCTGAGCCGAAGGCAGACGCTTAACGACTGAGCCACCCAGGCGCCCTCTATCTTTCCAATTCTTATATTATTTCTTTTTCACTGCAGAAGCTAGTATTGCCAGTAAAATGATGAATACAAACTGGAAGGAAAAGCATCTTTTTCTTGGTCCCAATTGCAGAAAGACACATTTCAATATTTTTTTTACATAATTAAGTTTATCAGCTCAAATTCCAACACATGTCTCTTTCTTATTGCCATGTATATGTGCTGTACCTTATGTGAACTAGTGAGTGTGGGACCCTTCCTCTCCTCTTTCTTATCATTTCTTCATTGTCTTCACTTATCATTTTTAACTTAATAACATTTTTTTCTCTAGGTGAGTCCTACTGGTGAGATAAAAAAAGATACTTTAGTGCCAGTCCTGATGAAAAATATTCCTTAACCTCTGATTACCCAAACTAAATTAAAAAGTGTTCTATCACAAATGCAATCTCAATCACTTTACTGTACATAATTTTTGAGTATCTTATTAATGTACTTTTTAAAAGATTTATTTATTTATTTTGGAGAGAGAGAGAACATGAGTGAGGGGGAAGGACAGAAGGAGAGAATCCCCAAGCAGACTCTCTGCCAAGTGTGGGGCCCTAAGCAGGGTTCGACCTCATAACCCATGAGATCTTGACCTGAGCTGAAACCAAGTTGGATGCTCTCAGCTGACTGAGCCACCCAGGTTCCTCTCTTACTAATGTATTATCTAAGTATTTAACTGTTTCTTCCCATGTATACATAAGTTACATAACAACTAGATTTTTTTTCTCTGAAATCCACCATTGCAACCATATCATATGGTAATACATAGTAATATATAGTAATACAAAACTATTTTAGACATTACAGATCAGACCAGTTACCATCTGAATACTCCTTAGTGACCACAGTCGGTGTCACATGGAGCAGAATAATCACTCAGTGGATCCCGCCCCAATTCCTGACCCATACACATATGAGGTACCATAAAGTGATGTGTTAAGCTACAAACCTAGGGTGTGATTTGTTATGCAACAATAGAAATCTGAAACAGGGCACTTCGAAATGGTTACAAAATCAACATTCTTACCTTTTCTTCCATTCTTTCTCTAGATGGGTAATATGTTATTGTCACAGTTGCTGTCTAAACATTCTCTTCTCTGAAAGGAGTGCCTTGATTGTTCTGTGTTTTTAGATCTTTATTGATGCCATGATACCTCTTTAAACAAGAGAACTAACTGTTGTATAAATTATGGATATTATTTAAACATATATTATAAAAAAGAGATACAGAGTTTAAAGCAATAAATTTAAGAAAAACAAACTGTATACACACTGCATTATTTTCCAACCAAGTTTGATTGAAAATAGATCCAAATGGGTTTCCTGTATTTTAATGGGAAAAACTTAAATAAATACAAGACTTTTGCTTCTTTTTTTTTTTTAAAGATTTTATTTATTCATTTGAAACAGAGAGATACAGAGAGAGAGCGAGAGCATGAGCAGGGGAGAGGCAGAGGGCGAGGGAGAAGCAGGCTCCTCGCCGAGTCAGGAGCCAGACGTGGGGCTCGATCCCGGGACCCTGGGATCATGACCCGAGCCGAAGGCAGATCCTTAACCATCTGAGCCACCCAGGCGCCCCTAAGACTTTTGCTTCTTAATGGTAACTTTTGTTTGCTTAGTATAATAATTCTCTCTTCTCAGTTACCCTCTTTTCATCCAGAAAAACTTGGAAAAATAATGCAGTAAATATCTGAAGTGCTTCTATATTAATCTCTATTATGTACTCCACCAAAAGAATAAAAATAAATAAATCAAGTAATCTTAGAGAATGGGTGAATCCATTTGAGGCCAACATATTTCAATCCCATACATATTGTATCTCTGAAAAGCACAGTGCACTCATATTTTTTGCATTAGTGAAATATAAGGTAAAAATTACCAAAATGTCGTGATTCAGCCATATAGAAAAAGCATATGTCAAGGAGAAAATCAGTCTGGCATGTAGGAAAAAAGCAGGTGATAAAAGATTCATTGCCAGCCTATCAATTTCTAAGTATCAATCATCAGAGGGGTTTTGTATATTTTAGTCTTTCCTTAGGTGTTCTCTAAATCATAACAAGGAAAATTCCATTTGATGAATGGTAAAATGCCTAAAAGTGTAAGCATATAGACATTTAAAAAATATTTTCCAAAGGCTTACCATATACATATCCTTTACAATCTAATACTTTCATGAAAAGTAAAAAAGAGTGTTACATAAAGGGGAAAGTATCAAAACATTCACCAAACCATCCTTAATTGCAAGTTCCTGAAATAAAGCCTATTTGCTATAAGTAAAAAAAAAAAATGACTATAGTTTTTAGGTGGAAAAAAGTATATGACATCAATTACTAGATAAGAGATACTACATTTTTCAGCAAAAAGTACCCATCACTAGTAACTTTGAGGGAGAAGTAGCGTGTTAGGCTGAATATGAGATTGGCTGGATACTTAGTGTCTTAATTTCTTAATTTGCATGACAACCATGCAGATGTAATCCTGATATCAGAGTCCAGCACAAAACAACAAGCTCAGCAATGAGTAGAAGTAATCAATGTATAGTAAGGTAGGAAAAAAACCTGAATATTAATTTTTGATTGCACAACTGCAGAATCAAATAAGAAAACTGACAATGAGTTCAAATCGGCAGCTAATACATTAAATATCAAGGCAACAATTTTCTTAAGGCTATCATGGCATCCTTATTTCTCAGAGTGTATATCATGGGATTAAACATTGGGGTGACTATGGTATAGAAAAGAGAGAGAAACTTGTCTGTTCTGGAAGGATGTTTAGATTTGGGTTGTAAATATGTAATAATTGCAGATCCAAAGAACATGGCCACAACTATGACATGAGATGAGCAGGTGGAGAAAGCTTTGATTCGTCCTGTTGCTGATGGCAACCTCAGGATGGTAGAGATTATTTTACTGTAGGATCCAAGTATCAACAGAAAAGGGATCATAACAAAAAGCACAGCGACTGTAAAGACTAACATCTCAATCAGGAAAGTGTCCCCACAGGCCAGCTTGAGTAGTGGGGGGATGTCACAGAAGAAGTGATTGATTTGGTTAGACACACAAAATGGCAGAGAGAAAATCTGGCATGTCTGCCCTATCTCGACAGGAACTCCAGTGATCCAGCAGGCTGCCACCAGCTGGACACAGACCTTGTGGTTCATGACTAGAGGGTAGTGCAGAGGGCTACAAATGGCCATGTAGCGGTCATAGGCCATCACAGTCAGAAGGAGGCACTCTATGTTTCCAAGCATAAGCACAAAACCCATTTGTGTTGTGCAGGCAAAGAGATATTTCTTTTCTGAGTCCAAAGATTTGTGAGCATTCTGGGGAGAGTGGCAGATACAAAACAGATTTCCAAGAAGGAAAAATTACTAAGGAAAAAATACATGGGAGTCTGGAGGGTCTGGTCAACCTTGGTTATGAAAACAATAATGCCATTTTCCATCAGAATTATCACATAGACAAAGAAGAATATTACAAAAAGAAAAATTTGAAGATTGGGGTAATCAGAAAATCCCAAAAGAGTAAATTCTGTCATTGAAGTGAGATTTATTTCTGTTGGGTTTTTTTCCATCTGTGAAAACCGTGAAATTAGCCATTTATCTTCTGAGGCCTGTTTTCTAATTTGTTTTCTAATTTCTAACGGACTAAAGGGATGTGGGGGAATTAGCACATAAAATTTCTATTGTTTACTAATTCCCAGCTTTTTATATCCTGGGCTCAAAGAACACAACTGAGGTCTAATGGAGAATACAGGCTAAATTCTAAATATATCAACATATTTAATACTTAATACTAGGTTTGGATTTGAATGAAAGTGATGTGTTCTAGAATTATTAATTTTGAATTTTTGTATGTATGCAGACCAAATTAGTCCATTTTTTTTCTTCATATTAACAAACAGAATCCTGAGGCAGAAACCTTTACATTTCCTCAGTGGTATGTTACCACCAAATTTCACATTATATTTTTTTTGTAATTTCTCAATTCTTCCATGAAGCCTTCTGTAAGTACAAGTAGAAATATGGTGCCACTGTCCATCAGCATAAGGATATAGACAACTAAGAACAATCCAAGTAGAAACCACTGAAGATGGGGACATCAGCAAAGTCTAAGAGAACAAATTCCATGAATTTGGTTAGATTTTTCTTCAGGTCATTTTTTCTGGATTTTTATCTGTGGAGGGAGAAATTTAATATGTAGTTTTCAATTTACCTCCCTTGACATTGATTGTTCTTCAGATTGTCTCAGTGTCCAAATGGGCTTTTGTGATCATTGCAATTGTTACAAATCTAAGGGTGTTACTATTTATATGTGTCCCACTGTTCAGGTTAAATCCTGTGGATTATCACTATAAAAGCTTCCCTGAAAATTCCTTTAGGGCCATTCCATTATACTTTCTGAATACAGTCCAGGATAAACAAACTACACCCAACTCAGCAGAGGCTCTGGCTCTGGAACATTGGCTACAGTGGAGCCAGACTCGGAACTTTGCTATATGACCTTACACTGAATTAGCTACACTTTTTGACAATCCTATTGTACTTCCCCATGCATTTTTCTGTTCAGTAGCACTTTTTCTTAAAGTGTCTTTTCACATATATTTTCAGCTACCTATTTCAGGCCTTCATTCCTCTGTCCTCACTTGTTGATGTTGAGCAGAAATGTCCCTGTTATTCAGTCCAAATTATTAGATTTTTTTTTTTAATGGCTAGAACTCTTATTGTGCTCATGAGAATATCTTTTAGAAGGCTTCTAGGTGGAAAACATAAGAGCATTTTATTCAGAAAAATTAACTTGAGAACACTGATTCAGATAAACATTAAAGGCAGTCGACCCTGGGAAAACAGGGATAGCCAGGAATGTGCTCACTACCTGTGATCTGTATTTGTGTGGGTGCAGGGAGAAAAGGTGTCTGCGTCTGGTTTAACCCTGTGCCATGTGCACCCTCCATTGTCTTTGTTGGTCCTCCAAACATACTCCCTCATCACCATTTCTAAACTCGCCGTTCTTTTTTTTTTTTTTCTTAAAGATTTTATTTATTTATTAGAGAGCGAGCGAGAGAGAAACAGCATGAGAGAGGAGAGGGTCAGAGGGAGAAGCAGGCTCCCTGCTGAGCCGGGAGCCCGATGTGGGACTCTATCCCAGGACCCTGGGATCATGACCTGAGCCGAAGGCAGTCGCTTAACCAACTGAGCCACCCAGGCGCCCTAAACTCGCCATTCTTTAGAGATAAGGATATTGAGTTTCATGAAAGGTGGATCGTTGACCAATTCCACACATGTTCGTAATTGCAAGTTAGCAACTTTTTTTTTAAATCTTTGAATCCTTTTACCATGTGATATTAAGCAATCATTTAAACTTTCTAATTTTTGCTTCCTCATTTGCGAGAAATGAATGGGAGACGACTGATAACATTATTACCTATCAAATTTAAACTGATTACTTATTAGTTGGGATTAAATAATTACAATTATGATTATATTTTGTTCTTTGACTGTACTCTCCAGGGTTATAGTGCATTGCCTAGCAAAATTGCATGTAATAGAGTTATTGCATCCCCTTGTCGGTGATTACTCTTTTCCACTCTTCCCTTTCACTGGGGCCAGGACTAGCATATGAACATATGTTTTCTTTTGTCTTGGGTAAATAACACAGAGAGAGATTTCCAGGATATATGGTAAGTGTATTTTCACTTTGTAGGAAACCGTTAGATTGTTTTTTTAATGTGGCTGCACCATTTTGCTTCTTACTATCAATGGATGAGGGCTCCCTTTGCTCTGTATCCTTGTGAGTACTTTCTATTGTCATTTACTATTATACTTTAAATATTCTAGTCCTTCTAACAGGTGTGTGAGGTCGTATTGTGGTTTTAAATTATATTTCCCTAATCTCAAATGCTATTGAACAATTTTTCATGCACTTAGTTGACATCTGTGTATCTTCTATGATGATGTGTTTAAGTTTACGTCCATTTTTATTTATTTTCTTTTATTTTCATATTATTGAGTATTAGGGTCTTTACATATTCTGGATATACACTCTTTATTGGGTAGCTGTCTAGCAAATATTTTGTACAAGTCAGTGGCTGGTTCATTCCCTCGACAGTGTCTTCCACTAAGCAAAGATTTTAATTATGATGGACAGTTTATCATTTTTTCTCTCCTATGATTCATGAATTTTGTGTTTTATATGCAGATTTGTGACTAACCCATAGTCACACAAATACGTTTTCCTCTCTCTACAAACATTATAGTATAAGGTTTTATATTAAGGTCTAAGATCCATTTTGAGACAAGGTTTTTATATGGTGCAAAGAATGAGTCACTGTCTCCTTTTTGTGGTGTAAGGTCATTCTTCATATTCAGCATCATTTTTTAAAGACTATCTTTCCTCCATGGATTTTCCTTAGAAACTGTCAAAAATTGATTATATTATGTGAATGAAATTCTGAAGACTATTGCACTCCATCGATCTAGATGTCTATCTTTTCACCAATGCCACACCCTTTATTATTTTAGCTTTGTAGTAAATCTTGATGAACTCCTGTGAATCCTTCTAACACTTTTATTCTTTTTCAGAGTTGTTTTGACTACCCTATTTCCTTTGCCATTCCATATGAATTGTAGAACTACCTGTCAATTTCTGCAAAAATGCTTGTTAATTTTAGAGTTACATTGAATGTGTGAATAATTTGGAATTGCATTTAATGAAAAGATCCTTTGTTCATAATTGGACTGGCTACAAACACCATCTTCTCAGCTGGGATGTCTACAAATTTTTTCTTCCTTCCTATCTCCCTATCTTCCTCCTCTCTTCCTCTCTCCCTCCCTCTTTTGTTTGTTTTTTCTTTCTTTGTCTCTTTCTTTTCTTTCTCCCTCTCTCCTCCTTCCTTCCTTTCTTCCTTTCTTTCTTTCTTTCTTTCTTTCTTTCTTCTTTCTCTTTCTTTCTTTTTCTTTCTCTCTCTCTTTCTTCCTCTCTTCCTCCCTTCTTCCCTTTCTCTCTTTCTCTCTTTCTTTCTTCTTTCTCACCTGGATTCCATGGTCAACATTCTTTAACTACTATTAGAATCTCTGAGTGTACAGTTCAGGCATCTATGTATTGTTTACAATTTAAAAAATTCAAGTGCATAACTAGGTACTAATATATAGATTAGTATATGGGATCCCCAAAATAACACAAGACCATACACAATACAAACCGTTTGACATTTATTTCTGCCAGATCTCTAATATTCTAATGTTGTACTATATAAAATATGACAGTTGTCTGTACACTGCACTATATCTCCTGTCGATACTTTCTTTTCATGTATTTTTATCGTAGCTCCTCAAACTGCCAATGAACTTAAATATATCTCTTGTACCACTTAGATATATAGCTCTTTAAAAGTTAAATAAGGAGGCACCTGGGTGGCTCAGATGGTTAAGCGTCTGCCTTCGGCTCAGGTCATGATCTCTGGGTCCTGGGATTGAGCCCCTGCTCAGTGGGGAGCCTGCTTCTCCCTCTCCCTCTGCCTCTCTCTGTTTGTGTGCTCTCTCTCACTCACTCTCTCTCTCTCAAATGAATAAATAAAATCTTAAAAAATAAAATAAAAATTTGAAAAAAGAAATAAATAAAAGTTAAATAAGTATGGTAAGATTTATTAAGTGATTTTGAAGTGTGTTTTAGGTTATGTTTTCATATTATTTCATTATGTACAGAATTTTGAAAGATGTAAACAGGTGTTATTCCCAGGAAGAGGAAGCTGGATTTTCAGAGAATTTAAGTCATCAGCCCCATGGCACATAATTATTTAGTATCAGAAACAGGATTATGTCGTGTTGCATTAGATTTCTTTTCCAGCCCTATGCATATTTTTTTTCCCACCGAGGATCAGGTTATTCCAGAAGCCAAAGTGCATCATATAATCATTTTTCTCATGTAGTTAATTACTCCAGAACTAGTCACTTGTTCATTATGAAAAAAAATAAATAAGTCATCTTGTTACTTTTCTGTCCCAAAAGAGTTTATTGTGTTTTGTCCTCGGGGCATTGTTGTGGACTTCGAAAAGAGCTTGATAACCTGGCATAAAAGTCCAAATGCTTAATATTTATAGTGTACCTTAACTGAGTGAGCAGTTCATTTCCACAGGTAAGAGGAAAGGATTTTCATTACATACAAAATATTTTAGAAGCTATGACCTTAAATCTCAAACTAGATTCTACATTTTAAGTTTAGATCTAAGATAGAAATTTCTAGTCAACTCACTGTTGAATTAAAAATTGAATGAGGGTATTCCAGGGAACATAGTAGGGGAAATAGGAAACACTTCCATTATATTTAGGTCACTAGAGCTATAAATTAGAAAATTGCTTTAATTTATTTGATGGAAAGTAACAGTGAGAATGAGGATAGTGGAAATAAATGGCTGTATTTAAAATTTAGGAAAATTATTAAGTAGAAAAATTAATTATCAACCAGCCATTGAGTATATGTCATTTTGGGATCATAAATCAACTTAAAATTTATTTTACTAGTTAGTTAATTGATCTACAA